TGATTTTCTTCTCCTCATACTATCTTTATCTTTCCAAATTGCTTTTTCTTTTTGTATTTACTTGTGTTAGGCTATTTTATATTGATTTTTTTTTCTTCAATGTCTGATATCTGGGCTACATGATGATTTTCAAAAGTATGGTATTACTGAATGGAAGCTACATGCCTTTTAGTAGCACACGTAGACCATAGTTTTTGCAGAAAGGAAATCTGGCTGGGTTGTTATACTGGGAATTCTTTGTTGTCCATAGCTTTAGTTCTTTTCTCTTGGGCTAGTCAGAGACACAGAGGAAAACACTTGCAATATGCCTGGAAAGTATAAGCCTGTGTGCCACCATTTGAGATCAAGTGTGTTAGTTGGGAGAGGTCTATGATTTTCAAATTTCAGAATAAGCAATTATTTAATGTTTCTACCTTCAACTGTACCTGATGTTTCCTCCCCTCCTCTAATCCAATCCAGGCAACATCGAATTTTACCTTCTCCAGAGGCTTCATTAACAGTATCATACACCATCCTTCACTCTTACTTTTTTTTTTTTTTTCCTTGAAACAGGGTCTCACTCTATCACTCAGGCTAGAGTGCAGTGGTGAGATCATGATTCACCACAGCCTTGACCTCCAGGCTTAAGTGATCCTCCCACCTCAGCCTTCCAGGTAGCTGGGACTACAGGCATGTGACACACCTGGCTAATATTTTGGTAGGGATAGTATTTTGTCATATTGCCAAGGCTAGTCTTGAACTCCTGGGCTTAAATGATCCACCTACCTTGGCCTCCCAAAGTGATGGGATTACAAGTGTGAGCCACTGGGCTTGGCCACTCTTACTTTCTTGTGGGGTTTGATACTAGATGGGGTAATTCCTAAACATTTTGGTGGTTATGTGATATAAATCAGATTGCTTATCTGATTTCACATAGTCAGTTTATGACTTATTTTTTTTTTCCTGGATGGCTAGATTGGATACCAATCATCCTTCTGACTTTCTATTTTCTTTTCAGATTTTGTCTTTGCCATTTTCTCCTCTTACTCGTGCTGTCCTGTGGGTTTATACCTTCTTGAAAAATACTGTTCTATTTTAGCTAGGTTCTATGAGGACACTGAGCTAGACATGTGCTCAATCTCCCATCTTTAATCAGAAGTTCCTCATGAATGGTTTAGTTTGCCCTATTTTGCCTGTTTTTGAAAACCATTTCTAGAATACAGTTGGGCCTAAATAAATTCCTATACAAAAGTTATTAATGGTAATATTTTTACTTCTTTAGGGTAAATTCTAAATAATTTTTTTTTCTAAATTTTAACATTAAGTGGCTAAGGAGGGTAATTTGGCAGAATATGAGTTCTAAGAGACAATTTTAATATGTTGTTTTCTAGTTGCCTATATGGTCAGTTAAATTTCTACTTCATTTTATTTCCATTTCCTCTTAGTCTTTTATAGACTTGGGAAAGATAAAATTGGTAAAAATTTTTACAAACTCTACGAACATCAAAAAAGAAAAATGTCAGCCCAAAATGTCTATGCCGGTTAATCTCAATTCTAGTCCTCAGTACATTAAAGACATAAAACGAAAGGGATTTTTACTAGTCTGTTCTCACAATGCTATAAGGAAATATCCAAGACTGGGTAATTTATTTAAAAAGAAGAGGTTTAACTGACTCACAGTTCCACATGGCTGGGGAGGCCTCGGGGAACTGAAAGTCATGGAAGAAGGCACCTCTTCACAGGGTGGAAGGAGAGGGAATGAGTGCAAGCAGAGGAAATAGCAGATGCCAATAGAACCATCAGCTCTCATAAGACTCATTCATTATCAGGAGAACAACAAGGAGGAAACCTCCCCCATGGTACAATTACCTTCACCTGGTCCTGCCCTTGACACGTGAAGATTATTACAATTCAAGGTGAGATTGGGGTTGGGACACAGAGCCAAACCATATCAGGATTGTAAAGTACATAGTTAGAGAAATTATCCAAAGATGATGTGCATATAAGAGATATAGAGAAACAAAACTTTAAGAGAGGAAATGAGGCTGGGCGCGGTGGCTCTTGCCTGTAATCCCAGCACTTTGGGAGGCCGAGGCGAGTGGATCATGAGGTCAAGAGATCGAGACCATCTTGGTCAACATAGTGAAACCCCGTCTCTACTAAAAATACAAAAAATTGGCTGGACATGGTGGCGCGTGCCTGTAATCCCAGCTACTCAGGAGGCTGAGGCAGGAGAATTGCCTGAACCCAGGAGGCGGAGGTTGCGGTAAGCCGAGATCGCGCCATTGCACTCCAGCCTGGACAACAAGAGCGAAACTCCATCTCAAAAAAAAAGGAGAAATGAAACTGAAATGATACCAACACAAAATGAATATAATAAATGATTTGGACATTACTGTCCACTACTATGTAGTTGTAGTTTTTGGGTGGCAGTATGGGGGATTGAAATCCCCTGGTGCATGGTTCTGATTAGTCAGACTCAATATAGCAATCTCATGTCAATGTCAGTGACTGATTGAGGCATCCAATGTATAGAATTCCTCTGGCCACTGGTTTTGGTTCAAAACCAGGTTCATGAGATACAAATAATAGTTTGCTAGGATCTTCCAAGGATGATCTTAAAACTACAGAAAAATACAGCTTCTGTAATTTCCTTTGAACACTGACATGTATGAATGAGAAGCCAAGAAATTCTGTAGGCTTAATGGCAAAGGAGTGAGATAAAGAGAAAAAAATAAAAATATTATGTAATCTTGCTACCAGTCTGGGGATGAAGCTATCCAATAAAAGAGAATAGCAATGTGAGAATCACAAAGAAAGAGAGCTATGGCTTCTGAAACCTTGTCTTAAAGCTTGCCTGCTGGAGACCTGCATGCAAGTGAGCATATAAATTTATTTATTGTTTAAACCTGTTTGAGGTAGAATTTCTATTCCTTGCAGTTCAAATCATTAATATAATAATAGAGGTTTATTCAGTTACTAATATAAGTATCTAATTGAATGATGGCTGGGTCTCAATGGTAGCAAAAAAGAGAAAAATTACACTGATTTTCACTGAAAGACACATAAAATACATTTAAAGGATTCTATACAACCTAGAAGACAACACTTTTTCCTTTTTATTTATTTATTAATTTACTATTTTTGAGACAGAGTCACTGCAGCATTGACCTCCCAGACTCAAGTGATCCTTCCACCTCTGCCTCTGGAGTAGCTGGGACCAAGGCACACACCACCACACTCAGCTAATTTTTTTGTTTTTCTTTTTTGTAGAGATGGGGTTATGTTATGTTGTCTAGGCTGGTCTTGAACTCCTGGGCTCAAGCAACCTTCCCTCCTAAAGTGCTGGGATTATAGGTGTCAGCCACCACACCTGGCTAAGGCAACGCTTGAGCAACAGCAAATGCAGAAACACATTTCTACAAATGCAAAAGAATTTTTTATGTCTCCATTTTGTTTGAAAACTCAAAAATCATTTCTCTAAGTTGAATTCAGCTATGCTATCTACAACAGTATTTCCTAGTGTAAATTTACTGGCCTTTTGGGCAGAATAATTCTCCAATTTGGGATTGTCTCATGCACTGTACTTTTAAACCCAGCACTAAATGATTGTCCCTACCCCTGGTTATCACGACAAGGAAAATCTGGCCTCATTCACTTACCCTAAGGTAGTGTTACTGGCCCCAGTTAAAAAATCACTAATGTAGGGGTATAGACTCATAGTATATACTATGAGAATTTCTCCTTTCAATATCATTTTAAAAATCCAGAGTCTAAGACCTTTATATTATTAGAAAACATAATAAAAAGGAATAATAATAATAAGGCAATAAGGAATCAGGAATAAGATAAGGAAACAGCCTCAGGATGGTCATATAGCATTCATAAGGCTAAATAAAATATTTTTGTGATTCACTAACTTCATATTTTAAATAAGTGCACATGAAATGGTTCCAAATCACATGCATGCAAAATGGCAGACATGCTATAAGACACAATACATTATGTGGTGACATTTTATAAGGCCCAATAATAAGAGTGAGAGAAAAAGAAAACGTATTGGCATATTTCTGTTTTTAATCATTAGGTTCTGTTTAACTACAACGAGGGGAAAATAAATATTATCAAGATATTTATCTTTTACTCTGCAAATGTTTGAAATATTTCTTAGTATTGATATCTTTATTTTTTTTTTTTTGAGATAAGGTCTCATGCTGTTGTCCAAGCTGGAGTGCAGTGATGTGATTACAGCTCAATGCAGCCTCGACCTCTATAGAATTGGGTGATTCTCCCACCTCTGCCTCCTGAGCAGCTGAACCTACAGGCATGCACCACCATGCCTGGTTAAGTTTTATGTATTTTATAGAGATGGGGGTTTCACAATTTTGCCCTGTCTTGTCTTGAACTTCTGGTCCCAAGTGATCCATCCCACTCAGCCTTCCAAAGTACTGAGATTACAGGTATAAGCCACTGTGGCCAGCTGATATCTAAGTTTTTGAGCAAGGAATGGTGCTAGGTGCTGTGACCTGTGTTCTCACCAAATGTATACAAAAAAAGAACTAGTGACTTTAAAACCATATGGGTTATAAGTGAAAAGAAAACAGTACAGACGATAATTGCTTAAAGACTTCAGGATACTCTTTGCTGGAATAATGGAGAAAGGCTCCACTGTGGAGGTGAGAGTTGAGGGCTCCTTACCTGGTGATACAAAAAGCAGGAGGAACAGTCACCAGAGCTGGGGGAAGAAACTATGCAAGACTGAGAAATGCAAAAGGCAAGTAAGAGGTGCAGTGGAATGTATATTGTATGGGGAATGGCTAACCTAAATGAGTAGCAGAGACTGAATGATAGGCTGAGCGGCAGACCACAAACTGAAGAATGTGAATCTTACTCTGCTGGTAATGGAGGGCTACTGATGATCTTGAGTACTAGTAGAATGATATAATAAACAATTTGTGGGGGAAGGAAGGGTTGAGTGAAGTATGAAAAGAAATATTTATATTAATGAATAAAATATATACCTGAAATGGCTTATCTGATTTTCTAAAAGGGAAGAAAGTCTCTCTTTTATCTCCTCAAATCTTTCTTTTTCTTCCACTGAAACAGTCCCAATTCCATCAGGCCTGAAAAAAGAAAAAAGAAGTATCAATAATTTATATTGATAGAGCATTTACTTTTATATATTTTGTACATTTATATATTTTTCAAAAAAGCAAATAAGGAAAAGGCATATCAGTTCACTGTATACATATTAATTGTGTTTACTGTGAAAATTTACTGGAAATATTTGCAGCCATTTGCTTTATATTTTGACTTAGAATGAATGGAATGGAATTATTCCCTTTTAGACAGCCTTCAAGGTAAAAGATTACAATAAATACTTTCCAGATCTACCAAAAACAATGAGTAGTCCCTGAAAATGTCCATGAAAAGTGATTTAAAGTAGTACCAAACATTTGACCAGCTAAGTGAAATCCACTGAATGAAAATATTATTAAAAAATAATGAATGTAAGATAAAGTCTTAACTGCTTCTCTTCCAAATAATAATTCAGCTAACATAGAACTGGAGATTTAATTATTGTAAGAAATATAGAAATTTTGGATACATGTAGAAGTTCACTGCTCTCTTTTTGTTTGGTTAAATATGTGGGCATATGAACAAAATATTAGAATTCAAATATACAGGAAAGAAAGAAAGAAAGCTTATTTCTTTTCAAGATATTTTTGTTTAAATATTCCTGTAAAATCAATGTGAGTTTCATTAGAATTTTACAAATTAGTTATAAAGATTGAAAAGAAATCTTATTTTACTAAGATTAGGATTAAAAATATAAAATATATCAAATAACAGAAATTTGGAATTTAATCTGTATCAATTTAGGTATCTGATTAAATAGCAATCACTGAAAATTTTGAATATATAAATCTTAACTGTCTCTATTAATGCAGAGGAAAAACATATGAATCTCATATTAAATTCAAAGCCTGTTTATATATCTTAACAACAAAATAAGCCTTTTGCATTTGATAATTAACACCAATCATTTCCCAACTCTTTGTTTGTTTGTTTATTTATTTGAGATGGAGTTTTGCTATTGTTGCCCAGGCTGGAGTGCAATGGCATGATCTCGGCTCACTGCAACCTCTGCCTCCTGGGGTTCAAACCATTCTCCCACCTCAGTCTCCCAAGTAGCTGGGATTATAGGCACCTGCCACCATACCCGGCTAATTTTTGTATTTTTTGTAGAGATGGGGTTTCACCATATTCATCAGGCCGGTCGGGAACTCCTGACCTCAGGTGATCAGCCCGCCTTGGCTTCCCAAAGTGCTAGGATTACATGTGCACTCTAAAGATTATATTTTAATTCCCAAAGACTTGTGCATTTATCATTCCAATGTACTAATTTTAATGGTTATGTATAAAATAGGTAGAAACAAGAATTATTGAAAACAGAGAAAAATGAATGCTTAAAATAACTTTCCTAATAAGATTTTTATTTGTTCCTTTTTATATATATACATAAAGTCATATGTGTCTGTGTGTATATGTTTGAAGCTTGTTAACTAGTCAATTAGGATGAAAGCAATTAATTTTAAACTTATACCTGAATTATACTGACATAATGACCTTTCAGTCAAATCGACGTTATCACTTAAGTACAAGAGATTTTTTTCCAATATAGCATACATAATTTTTACTTCAGAGACTCACATTATGCTGGAAATTTATGCTTTAAAAACATTCCATATAATATTTTATTTCTAAAGAGGAGAACATTATTTACATTATTTAATTTCACATGCAGAATAATATATCAATCATATTTATTCCATCTGCATGCATTTTGAATGTTAACTATGAAAAAAATAATGGCCAAATATTAGTCTTTCAAGTATTTTTAGGAAGGAGAAAAAGTCTAATGCATAAATTATAAGGCAGTGAACTATGAGCTAATCCTAATGTTTTATATTAATTTAATAATGGATTTTTCATATTACTTTAAAATCAATTTCCATTGAGCGAATGTTAATACAAAACACAGACTGTAACCTATGAATAAGCATTGACAATAATTACAAAAGTTCAACTGGAAAATTCTCTATAAACCATTAATTTGGGAATTTGGGTATTCAGATAAAAACTATACCTAAATTACATTATTATGTAGACAGCAATAAAAACTTATACCATAAAGTTATGAGTGATTATTTCACTGAATCTGTCTATGCAAACTTGATAGAAAGGGCAAATAACTTATCTTTATTATTCTGCTGATTGATATAATCCTTTGGCTTAGCTACCTGGCAGACACCGTGTGATTAAATATGAGTAAACTTTGCTATTTGGTTCAACTGTCAAATGAGATTGTCATCCTCAGTGACAGTGTAAGTTGTCCTATCATATTAGACTTGACTGTAGCACATTGCCTGCTCTACAGAATGGAGCCAGGGGGTCAGGTGATGACAAGTGAGAAAGGTAAGTCAGGGGAAGCTCACTTGTGTTAACCTTCACTAAGAAAAGACTGTTATATAGAGTGAAGGACTACCATTTTACTGAATTTATCACTACATCAGGTACAAATCTGACAGGTTAAATACTATGTTTAGCAATTTGGACTTGCCTTTATTTACACATCCTTGTTTTAGTATATATATCTGACTAAGTACTGAATGGTAGGCAGATGAAGCAGCCTTCTATATCTAAATTATTGGTAACAAATGGTAACTTTGCAGTAGTCAAGTCTAAAGGCAAGAGTTCCTCCTACAATAATTCTTCCCAATAAATGCAAATACTTCCCATGTCATCAACATCTTGTCACTGTTATTATTAAAATAAACATAATGATTAACACTTAGAGAATTTTAAATATGTGTCTGGTATTTTGTACTGATTATTTTATATGCAGAATAACACATCAAGTTCACAGCAATCCTGTCTCCTTTCCAAAAGAGAAGGCTGCTGAGGCTCAGAGAGGTTAGGTTAATTCCCCAAGGTCACACAGCTGGGAAATGCAGGAGCCTGCATTTGAACCTAGGTCTCTTGCCCTTCAAAGATGATGCTTTTATCCTTACTCTCTTCCTGCTATATTTTGACGGAAAAAAATAAGGAGCAATAGAACCCTGATTAAACCATGAAAACTATATTTGAAAAGCAATAATGGAGTATTTTGAATATCCTTACTTACATTAGACGTTTTCCACCTGACTTGTCTAAAGTGCAGACCTTAAAAACCAATGAAATTTAAAATAAAATGCTTACCATTGAATCAGCAAGGCAGGTAAAGAATACCCTAAGAAAGGAAGTCCTAAAACTTGCTATTTCATACATTATAAAGCATGTTTTCACAAAAGCCTTGAGAAAATTTTTATATTTATTTTTTTCTTTGAGACAGAGTCTTGCTCTGTTGCCCAGGCTGGAGTGCTGGGGTGTGGTCTTGGCTCACTGCAACCTCTGCCTCAGCCTCCAAGTAGCTGGGATTACAGGCATTTGCCACCATGCCCAGCTAATTTTTTGTATTTTTAGTAGAGACGGGATTTCACCATGTTGGCCAGGCTAGTCTCGAACTCCTGACCTCATGATCCACCTGCCTTGGCCTCCCAAAGTACTGGGATTACGGGCATGAGCCACCATGCCCTGCCAGAGAGAAATTTAAACCAGTTATATTTTATGAATGTTTGTTTAGTAGACCTAGAGTAAATGAGATTTAAAAATTATAGTTTCTATGAGCTCAGTTTAGAAATTCATTTCTGCCAGCTCTAACTTCAAAACATACCCAGAACCTGACCTTCCCCCACTATATCTACCTCTGATCCGCTGATCCCACACACCATCAGCTTATCCCTGAATACGCAGGCAGCCTCCTTGCTCTTTCCCAGTGCTTTCTTTGTCAGATAACTGACCACACACTATTCTGAGCCTCTTCATGAGTCATTATTACAGTACTCCTTGACTCAAAATCCTGTAATGGTGGCACACAAGGTAAAAGCCAAAGCCTTTACAATGGTCTACATCACCTATGAGGCCTGCTTCCCACAATCTGACCTTATCTACCCCATGACTTGCCCTTTTCCCCTCCTCTCAAGCCATGCTATCCTCCTAGGTAGTCTTCAAACGCACGAAGCAAGCTCCAGCCCAAAGGCCTTTGCAAGTGCTGCTGCTTCTGCCTGAGAACACTTTCTCTAGGTGTACACAAACACACATATGTGCACACATGCACACCTGGCTTGCTCACTCCCTTTCTTCTGGCCTCTATTTACATGATTTGGGATTAGTGAGATCATCTCCAACCATCTTATATGAAGGTGTATTTCCCATTCCCATAGACCTTTTTATCAATATGCTTTATTGATGGCCATTGTGCATATGGCTGCCATCTAACATGATATTTTTACCTATTTGTTTACTGTCTGCTTCCTTTGTGATGTATCTCTAGTGCTAGAACACCAGCTGGCATATTGTTTATATTTAATGCATATATGCTGAGGAAAAAAATGAGTGATATATACAATATAAATATTACTTAAGATGATAAGAATTCATGAATTAGTAATACGACAAATTATTACTGCTTATTAACAGGGTATAAATTATTTGGATCATTTTTATATTTAATTTAATTAATGAATTAATTTTGAGATGGAATCTACCTCTGTCACCCAGGCTGGAGTGCAGTGGCACAATTTCAGCTCACTGCAACCTCTGTCTCCCAGGTTCAGGCTATTCTCCTGCCTTAGCCTCCCGAGTAGCTGGGATTACAGAAGCGTGCCACCACACCTGGCTAATTTCGTATTTTTAGTAGAGACAAGGTTTCATCAAGTCGGCCAAGCTGATCTTGAAGTCCTGGCCTCAGGTGATCCACCCACCTCAGCCTCCTAAAGTGCTGGGATTACAGGCATGAGCCACCATGCCCGGCTTGGAATCTTTTATTATATGATAGTTGGCAAAACAGAAAATTTTGTGAAAAGCAAACAGAAGCAGGAACTGTAGTTAAGTACACTGGGTAAAGAGATCTCTAATTAAAGTTAGTATGTATTTACACTTAGCAGAAAAATATCTTGTGTTTAGTTCTACTTTAATAGTAAAATAATTTACTTTAAATCTCAAGAATAGAACTTTTCTC